AAAGAAACCTGTGGGGATTTAAGGCTGGGTGTGGTGGCTCATGCCTGTAATCCCAGCACTCTGGGAGGCCGAGATGGGTGGATTGCTTGAGCTCATGAGTTCAAGACCAGGTTGAGCAAGAGTAAGATCCCATCTCTTAAAAAGTAGCTGGATGTTGTGGCAGGCACCTATAGTCCCAGCTACTTGGGAGGCTGAGACAAGAGGATCGCTTGAGTTCAGGAGTTTGAGGTTGCTATGAGCTATGATGCCATGGAGCTCTACCAGGGGCAAGAAAGTGAGACTCTGCCTCAAAAAAAAAAGAAAAATGTACAGGTTGAGTGGGGAGCATCATATCTTTACAGTATTATCTTCCTACTCAGAAATAAGACATTTCTCCACTTGCTGAGATTGTTAAAAACATGCTGCAACAATGTTTTATAATCCTCAAAGGGGTCTTAATTTATGAAGACTTATTTCCAGCTATATAATATTTTTTTGTTGTTACTGTGAAAAAAAAGTCTTTTCCCCCCTTTTAACTGATTAGAATTTGTATTTAGAATAATTGTTTTGAATATTTTATCTGGTCATCTTACTGAACTCTGTTTTCTAATAGCTTTTCAGTTGATGCTCTTGATCTTTCTAAGGAGACAGTCCTCTCTGCAAAGAGTGGTAATTTGGAGTTTTTCTGATAATTTGTACTTTGTTCACCATTACTTCCTTGACTAGGACTTCTGGAGCACTGAGAAGCCAACTCTGTGTCTGACTTTAATGGGTATGCTTTTGACGCCGTCCACTGCCTGCCTCTCCTCTGCCTTTGACCCTGACTTCTTCCACTCCGTCTTTGGGCAGTTTCTGAGGTGTGGTTGCAGAAGCCCATCCCTTGCTCTGAAGCCCCTTGTTTTGCCTTTGTGAAATCACCAGGCTGCTTGGCATGATCAGCTTTTCTGTTGGTCAGATTCCATCTTCTTCACTTCTTTCAGAAATTCCTCTCCTTTGGCCCCTTTATGATATTGTTCTGTTTTCCAATGCTGCCCTAGGCTTTTCTCCCCCTTCTTTGTAATCTGGGTTGTTGCAGTGGGCTTTGCCTGTGAAAGGAAATAAAGAAGTAAGTTTTCTTAGTTATTTTCCTTTTGGGACTTGGGAGTTGTGTCCAGGATTTCAGTATAATAGGTGACTTGCAGCCCTTGCTTTTATACCTTTTCTTTTTTTTTTTTGAGACAGAGCCTCAAGCTGTCGCCCTGGGTAGAGTGCCATGGCTTCACTGCTCACAGCAATCTCCAACTCCTGGGTTCAAGCGAGTCTTCTGCCTCCGCCTCCCAAGTAGCTGGGACCACAGGCGCCTGCCACAACGCCCGGCTATTTTTTGGCTGCAGCCATTATTGTTGTTTGGCGGGTCCGGGCTGGATTCAAACCCGCCACCTTAGGTGTATGTGGCTGGCGCCTTAGCCGCTTGAGCCACAGGCGCCGAGCCTATACCTTTTCTTAATTGCAAATAAGACCCCACTCCCACTGTAACAGTGAAGCCTTACAGTGACCATCTGTGACCTATTGACTGAATTGTGCTGATCTGACTGGCATTACATCAGTTCAATGTGGTTGAAGTCAGGAGACTATATAAGGGACCAGTCAGTGAAGAGGAAGAGACTTATGCTGAAAGATCTTGTCTTTCTTCTAAAAGATGCCTTTCTGGGGCCAGGCCTTTCCCATTTCCTAGTCACCTTTCTATGCCTGGAAACAGGAAGTGCTAAAGCTTGCATGGATCCAAGGACAGTGAGTCATGTTACAGGGCCCCTGTCCTGCCCAGAAAAAGACTAAGATGGAACAGCTGGGTATTAGCAGGGAGGGGAAAAGGACCCCTTACGGTGTCTCTGTTTTCATTTCTCCCAATAGAAGCTCATGAGTACAGATTCAAATAATCTTTGTTTCTTGTGACAGCATCTGAACTTTGGCCAAGTTTTATTTATTTATTTATTTATTTATTTCAGTTTTTGGCCGGGGCTGGGTTTGAACTCACCACCACCGGCATATGGGGCCAGTGCCCTACTCCTTGAGTCACAGGCGCTGCCCAGCATCTGAACTTTGGATTTGGTTATTGAAGGGATGAAATCAAGTAGATGTGAAACCCTAAATTGGTCACACAAGTAAGACTTAATTAGCTGTGAGAAAAGAGTGCTCTGCATGGCTGAGCCCAGCAGTCTTTTTTTTTTTTTGAGACGGATTCTCACTATGTCACCCTTGGTAGAGTGCCATGACCTCACAGCAACCTCAGACTCTTGGGCTTAGGCAATTCTCAAAGCCTCCCAAGTAATTGGGACTACAGGTGCCCGCTACATACCCAGCTATTTTTTTGGTTGCAGTTCTCATTGTTGCTGTAGCTGGCCTGGGCTGGGTTCAAACTCGCCAGCCTTGGTGTATGTGGCTGGCATCCTATCCTCTGAGCTACGGGGCACCACCTGAGCCCAGCAGTCGTAAATGATCTGCAGTAGTGTGTGGCTATCTCATACCCTTACAAGGAAGGGCATTTGGGTAAGATTTTCTGGGTCTTCCAGCCATAATTGTGCCAAAAGTTTACCATTACTTGAACTAAGAAAGGATTTAGTAAATGGAATCAAGGAAAACTTATAATCACTTCAGGAGGGTGCACCTAAATGGACAAGACCCAGCTTAATTTGGGAATTGGTTTTTGATGAATAGAAAGACATTTTGTAAGGTAAATAATGTATAGAAACACTGTCATCGTGAAATCAGCATAAAATGAAAATTTGCCTTTGTCACCACTTTGGCTCATTCAGTGCTCCTCCTTAGAAGCGGAAGTGACCTAGTTTAGCATGTACCTTTCCAGGTCATTTTTCTGTGTATCTGTAGTCATATATATTAATATACAAGTACATAGGTATTTTTGTTTTATTCCCATAATTAAGATTGTATATCCTGCCATTTGTGATAATTTGTGACAATCTTCAAGAAACCCCTGTCAGGCTTGGCGCCTGTGGCTCAAGTGGCTAAGGCACCAGCCACGTAAACCCAAGGTGGCAGGTTCGAATCCAACTTGGGCCCACCAAACAACAATGATGGCTGCAACCAAAAATAGCCGGGTGTTGTGGCAGGTGCCTGTGGTCCCAGCTACTCGGGAGGCTGAAGCAGGAGACTCGCTTGAGCTCAGGAGTTGGAGATCGCTGTGAGCTGTGATGCCACAGCACTCTACCCAGGGGGACAGCTTGAGGCTCCTGTCTCAAAAAAAAAACGAAACCCCTGTCAGAAACTAAATGCTGGGGATGGGGTGGGGAATGGAGAGAAGTGGTATCATGGTTAATGTAATCTTTGGGGGAAATTAATGACTTAAATCTGTATAGCTCTTTACATTTGTAAAAAAGCCTTTTTAGCTTTTCCAAGAGTGGAATTAAAGACATTTTTGTGGCTGGTCATGGTGGCTCATGCCTATAATCCCAGCCCTCTGGGAGGCCGAGATCGGATCACTCCAGATAGTATTATCTCTGCTTTATGAAGGAAGACACAACTTGCCTGAGGTCACCGAGCTAGCATACGGCAGAGCCATTGTTCCAGAAGAAGGTTTTGAATCACAAATCTATTGCTTTTTCTGCAAAAGCTCCACCTCAGATGGGGCAAGGTGTAGGTGGCAGCCCTGGAGACTTTGTTGGGCAAAAGAATGACTTGTGGAGCTCAGCTGTTCACGTTCCTTGGTCTGATCTCCAAGGGCTCTAGGCCTAGGAATCTGCTTTTTTGGCTTGTACTTCGGTAGATTTGATACAGGAACCACACTCTGTGAGACACTTGTTATGAGATCAGAGTTTGTTCATCTGGTCACATGTCGTCAGTGCTTAGCATTCAGCACAGATTTGGAGTCTTGATGACTAATAAGTTGTTCAGGAGACAAATTTAACTGAATGCTCTGGTAGAATTACCTTTGTTGAAATCTTCTATGAAAAAACACACAAAAATAAAGGCTTAGTCACTCTGCCCTAGACACCTCAATATACAGCTAATGGGCGATCAGGAATTGCACTGACTCATTCATTCTTTGTTCATCATTTTGCATGCCTCGATGACTACCTATGTCCTGAAGGTCCTATAGCACAAAGTCTGGGAAAGCCCCTTCCTGCCCTAATAGCCCTGTCTGCAGATGAGATAGTACCCAGTAGTGACAGCAGGAGAGAAAGCAGTGAATTCTCTAAATCACACAGATCCTGTCCTGTGGGAATTCAGAAGGAGAGAGGGACCCAAGAGGCCTTCACAGAGGAGGCAGATGC